ACACACACACACACACACACACACACACACACACACACACACACACAGGAGTGCACACACAACTTCTATAGTGTAAACTTTCTTCATAATAATCATACTATGTTTATCAGAAATGATATAATCAGTCTCTTTAGGAGGGAAACTAGATATGATTTAAGAACTATTATACAGGAATGTGTTTCAAAGAATATAAATGAACTTTTAAGTACACAATTGAATTAATCATATTGCATAATTATGGCAGGGAACGATAGACCTAATTTACCCTTTGTTCTGGGCACAACTCTTGATTGCAATTCCCAGCTACATCCATATGGCCCGTTCTCCTCTTCTGTCCTTATTTCTAGATAGCATCAGGTAAGTATATATGAAGTATAACCAAAGAATGAATCTCACTTCCTGGCGGTTAAGATCTGTGTGTCTTTTCGATGCTGCCTTGTCCTTCCAGGCAGCAAGGGCTGCCATAACCTAAGAGTAGAGGCAGCCTAGTTTCTTGTGTCACGCCTTGTAGGTGAGTCTCCAAGGCAGACCACTGATTAGGAGTACTTGCAGATTTTTGTGTCAGGCTAACTTGAACTATACAGTTCTATATACATCATTGCCATTGGCCTCAGTGTGACCTGATTAATGTTATTCAATTAATTACACTGTACAATGTAGCACTGATTAATATATTTTCAGCCAGAATACTTGAACACTCAAAATATTTTAGGGTGTTCAAGTTTAGAACTAGAAGCAGAATTTTGTATCTCATGACACATGACAATGGTGAATTTCTCTTCAGCTAGTACGTCAGTTTCTTTTTTCCCCAGTGCACTATAAAAACATCGATTTCTAGTGCCCTAAGTGATATGCTGCTCCATATCTTTGACATCATAGTGCTATTATCATAGTCATTAAATTTTGGCACTTGTATAGGAAAAATGGGGGTCACACTGTCACCTTGATTTCCATTTTCATGACTGCTTCTTAAGTTAGATCCTCCTTTTGCTGTCGGTGACTACGTCAGACTTGCTTCTTGGTAGTTCTGTACCAGAGAATGTACTGCATGAGTTGGCAAAAAAAAAAAAGTGAAAAATTAAGAAATTCCATTTTAATATCTTAAAACGTTCAGCCATTAGTCACATTGTCTATTCTGATTTTAAAAAGTGTAAAGCCACAGAATAATCTTTGCACTTTGTTTCCAGTTTTATTTACCTTTTATTTATGTTTTAAAATGAAAGATACAGCTGCGTGTATTTGTCATATGCAACGTGGTTTTGAAGTATATGTACTCTTTTTTTGGACAGACTACATAAGTTAATTAAGATATGTCTTACCTCATACAGTTATTTTTATGAAGGAACATTTTCTATTCAGCCTCAGGATTTTTCAAGAATACAATACACTGTCACTGTGCTCATTACACTGCACAATAGATTGCCTGAAACTATTTCTTCTGTCAACTGATATTGGATGTGCTATGATTACTGTTACTCCAGTACTTCTTGGTCCTTATTAACTATCATTCTACCCTGTTTCTATTTGATTAACACACACACACACATCCATCCAACCTGTGGGTGAGGTCATGGAGTATTTGTCTTTCTGTGCATGGCTTATGTTGCTTAACATAATACACTGTTGGTTCATTTATCCTATTTTCTAGATCATTTCATGTATTGACAGACACTGAGGTTGAGTCCGTGCCTTGGTTACTGCTAATAACGCCAAAATAAATGCTGTGCAGATAAAATAAGTGCAGATCCACCCTCACATAATGTTTTTCTTTCTTTTGAGAGTAGTGGGATTGAAGGATCACATAGTAGTTTTATTTCTAAGTTTTCGAGGGGGGCACACTGTGTTTTCTATAATGATTATGTACTAGATCTATCTATCTATCTATCTATCTATCTATCTATCTATCTATCTATC